CTCCCTGGGTCCATTTCCTGCCCCCCACAACCCATGACAGTATTTATGCAACTGGTAGTTAGGGAATAAAATGTGAGGGGGGGGGAGGTCACCAAATCTTTTTTCATCTCTTAAAGAACAAACTGACAGCTCCAGTTCCGACAGGGGGCCCTCCAGTGAGCTCCGGGCCAGGAGTCAGGGCAGGAGACTGTCTTCCCCTGCAGAGGTCCTGGATTGCAAGCGCCAGACATGGTCTGCTTTATGGGAATTGGTGCGACACACTGGGGACGCAGCCCCTGGAGTTCCCATCAGCCACGGCCAGAGGCTTGTGTGACAAGCTGGGGACGAAGCCACCAGAGGCCCCATAAGCTGCAGCTGGTGACGTGTGCGACATGTTGGGACATGGTCACTGGAGGTCCACGGCCAGAGGCTTGTGTGACACGCTGGGGACTCGGCCACCAGAGGCCCCGTCAGCCGCGGCTGGTGACGTGTACCCTTGTGTCGGGACTGACTGACCCTCCAGAGGGTTTCAGAGGCTGTAAATAGCAGGGCAAGAGATTGCCCATCCTCCGCCCACGGAGCAGCTGGTGGATTCGAACTGTGTGTCTTGGAGTTGGCACTACAGCTCCTTACCAGTCGGCTACCAGAACTCCCAGCTGGTTGTCGTTAAGTGCTGTGGAGTCGTGGGTGACTCACAGCAACCCTATGAACAGAAGACCTGAACACCTGTATAACTTCCATCCTTTCTCCAGGTTCACAGTGTTTCTGGAGGCAAGCTATTTCAGATGTGGATGCCAATTCTGCTTCCAAGCTTGTTTTACTCAGGGAGCTCCACCAAACACTGTCCACCATGAGTGACCATTACAGCATTTGACAGATCAGTGTCGCAGTGTTCAGATCAGAGCAACCACGAGTTACCTCTGTACATACAGCAAGTGGGCAGACCAGGGCTGTGCCACTTAAAGGGTCTTCTTCCTAGCTGGCAGATGACCATCTGTCAGGGAGCATGGATGAGTCCTCAGACGACTCCTGACCGGTGCTGACAACAGGACAGTGGAAGTCCATGTCCACTTACAGAGCTGTGGGTGTGAGGTCTCTCATCAGAGGGGGGCAGGCACCACGGCCGGGTATGGACGAGTGAAAAGGTCAGCTGCACGCTGGGACACACAGGTCTGGCACGTGACAGGTCAACATGAGGGTTTGTAAGTGCTGCTAATACAGTGGTGTAGACAGAGCGTTAATCGGCCCTGTATACCGCGCATGTCTTCAAAACCTGAGACCCTCCTTGCGGTCAGGTCATGGCCGGCCCACAGCCCACCGTCCAGAGGTTTTCCGGGGGCTGAAAGTCAGAGGCCAGTGTCCATCTTTCCCCCACAGAGCTGCTGGCTGCTAAACCCGGCCACCTCACGATTGGCCATGCGTCTCCCTGCTGCCTGCACCTCGTAGCTGCACCTTGTGAGGCTGGGACCAGCTCACAGCTGACCATGACTATGTGGAGGCAGAAGCGCACAGACTGCCCACCCTCCTTCTGAGCAGCTGGAGATTCGAGCCGTGTACCTTCGGGCTGGTAGCACAACTCCTTACCACTAAGCCGTTAGTCGTAGCAAATACCTTGAGGTCATGGGTCCCAGTCCTGGGGACGTCAAAGGAAAGAAAAACATTTGGCCCAGGAAAAGCCATTTAAGACCTAGTGACCAGGCACACACTGGGCGGTCAGTGAGCTTTCCCTTCGGCCAAGAAGTGGGTTATGTGCAAAACCACCAAAGCGCCCTGGTGGCACAATGGTTAAGTATTTGGCTGCTACCCTAAACGTTGGCACTCAGACCCCCCCACCAGACAGACATGGAGATGTGCCTGCACGGTGACCACCCAGGAGGCCAATGGGCTGATGTCCTGCATGGTGACCTCCCAGGAGGCTGATGGGGTGATGCCCTGCACCGTGACTGCCCAGGAGGCCAAGGGGTGATGTCCTGCGCAGTCACTGACCATCCAAGAGGCCTACAGGGTGATGTCCTGCACAGTGACCGCCCAGGAGGCTGCTGGGAAGTCCTGCTGGGTCTGATGGTCACTCAGGGTCGGAACGGACTTGATGCCCAAGGCTTGGCGTTTCCTAGCTTGGGACAGGTGTTGGGCAGAGCATGGCTCATTGCACTGCCCTGCACTGGGCGGTGAGGGCCTGGCACTGGGGTGATGGGGTGTCCACACTGGGGCGGTGGGGTCCCCGCACTGGGGCCCCCACAGTGGGTGGTGAGGGCCCCGTACTGGGGTGGTGGGGTTTCTGCCTGCCGGGCTCACATCCACAGCTGACCTGAGCTGTCTGCCCCCTGTGGAGCTTCGCCCCTCTCCTGTAGGCAGAGCCTTCTGGCTGCCCACATGGGCTGACTCTGCTCCCCATTTCCTTTTCTCCCACATGACACTCGGGAAGCCCGGGCACTCAGGAGTGGAGGGCATGGAGGGCAGCGTCAGTGTCTGCTGGGAGCTCGCACATGGACGGGCCTTCGTCTCACGTCCATCTGCCTCCACGATGCGTCCCCACTGAGCTCGCACCAGCCCTGCGGCCAGTCCTCGGACGTGACTCCATCTCAGATCCCGGAGATTCCGGGACACCTTCTGGAAAGCATCCACCGACACCCTGGGGAGCACGGGTCATGACCTGAGCTGGGAGCTGGTCACAGTGGGGTCAGACAGCACTGGTTACACAGGGGGCGGTGCCGGAGCAGACCCCCAGGGGCTGGGCCGCTGTCAAGGAGGCTTCACTGCTGAGGAGGCGTGGTTGTGGGCATGGGGCTCCCAGGAGGTGATACAGTGTACCCAAAGCCCTCTTGATCTGGCCAATCAGCTGCAGGCGCGTCCTTAGGGGGCGTGGCTGCTCCAGTACATACGCGGGAGCTGGGCCTGGAAATCTCCGCAGCAGCAGCCTGTCATCACTCGGGGCACCTGCTCCACATAAATGAACATGTAACAATGCACATGCGTATACAGTGTACAGACATTGTATATGTACATCTACATGGTGTGGATTGCTTTCCCTTCCAGCACGACTCACAGGGACCCTATGAACAAAAGGCCTGAAGCCCCTCTACCACTATCGCCATTTATCCAAGATGACAGGGTTTCCAGAGCACGTGGTTTAGAAGTGGGTGCCGCTCCTGCTTCCAGTGAATGTACACGTGTGTGGACACACACACTCACGCCCATGGCCTCTTCTTCACACAAGGGCCGTGTCCAGGAACTGTCCTAACCTTTGCTGCCCCCTGGTGACAGCCCGGAGATTGACACTGTTCAGAGACTACCTGTCATCCAAACACTGGTCAGTTTTCTCCTTTTTAACTTTGAGAACAGCCCCCCCCCCCCGTGGTGATGTGTGGGTTCAATCTCCAAACCACTACAGTAAGACAAGCACAGCCCTGAGAGGAATCACAAAGTGTTTTGTTCCCCAACCAGATGTGCACGTGGAAGTTGTGCACTCTCTCTGAGCCCGCTTATTAGCTGCTGGGGTGGCGGGGGTGTCTCTGCGCAGCCCCAGGTCCGGAAAGGACCCTGCCCAGTGTGCCCCGCAGGCTTGGTGCCCCTCATAGGCACTTCCAGGCCGGGGTCTCTCCTGTCCATGGTGAGGGCCGCGTGCTGAGACCTGCCATTCTGAGCGAACAGCTTTCTCTGTAGATACTCCACCAGTTCCAGTGTTGACTTGAGCAGCTTCGTCTCGTGGTAGGGGATCTGTGGAGGGGAGAAGAGCTGTGAGCCTCCAGGAAATCAAGCTGTTTCCTGGGGGAGTCCTGGGATCCAGCCTGGCACACGCAGGCTGGGTAAGCAGGCGCTCTCCCTTCTTCTCTGGGAACATACATGCCCACTGTTGGCAAGGAGCCTGCGGGAGAGGGACAGGCCAGCCAGGGCACTGGATGCAGAGTGGACACTGCCCGGCGCTCGGGGACGGAGTGCAGATGCGGGTGAAGGCACACACAGCGGACACGGCTGGGCAGTGCAGGCGCCCTGGGCAGAAGGGATGAGGGACAGGGAAGGACACACAGCTCGGGCGGTGGGTGTGTGCCTGCTGCAGACCAAGGAGGCCGGACAGGGGAGGAGGCGAGCAGTGACTAGCCAGGAAGGGTTCCACGCACCAAGCTGTGGGGCTGGGGTGGAGGATGAGGAACCCCGGACCAGGAGAGGGGGCCGTTAGATCAGGAACAGGGCTGTGGGGCTGGGCTGGGGGACGAGTGACCCCACATGACAAGGGGCCTGTCATTAGGTCAAAGTCAGGGCTGTGGGGCCGGGCTGGGGGACCAGTGACCCCACACGAGAAGGGGCCGGTCAGTGGAGCGTGAGGCTCGGCTTATGGGGAACACGGTATGGTCCACAGTGGAAAATGCAGTCAGAAGAGCCTCTATGTCAGCACGTAAGAGATTATGATCAGACAGGAGAACATCAACACAGGCACAGAGCGCCCCAAAGTGCCGGGATGCCCAACGTGGGCTCTGAGCCAGGTCGAAGACGCTGGGTCCATGGGCCCTGCAACCATTCGCTGCTGGGACGTGCCATCGAGGTGGAAGTGACTCACGGCTGACCCCGCAGGGGGTTCTCAGAAGCACCCGGTCACACGGGAGGAGAAGGCCCATCCTTCCTCAGAGCAGCAGGTGGAGTCGAGCTGCTGGCCCTGGGGTTGACAGCACAGCTCCTTACCCACCAGGCCACCAGAGCTCCCAGCACACCACTCGGTTCCCTGCAGAATGTACCCTGAACGAGGAATGCACTTCTGGGAAAAGGGGCCAGGAGGGCCTGACGCTGTACCTGGACCATGTCACAGCCGAGCAAGGGCAGTGCCTTTAATACAAGGACCAGGCGGGCCTGACGCTGTACCTGAATGACCGCACTGTACCTGACAACGTCACTGTACGTGGACGACGTCACTGTACCCACTGACCTCACTGTACCTGGATGACCTCATTCCACCTGCCGGTGTCACCATACCTGGCGACCTCACTCTACTCGATGCCCTCACCATACCTGGACGACATCACCGTACCCACCGACCTCACCGTACCTGGACGACGTCATAGCCGAGCAGATGCAGGTGCCTCTGTTTAATGGCTTCTTTGCCCAGCAGGTGGTTGGTATTGGAGCAAAATCTTTTGGGGTCATCTATACACAGCACCACCCTGAGACAAGAGAGAGACAAACAGACAGTCAGACTGTGGAAACGACCCGATTCCTCCCACGTCGGCCAGGGCTCTGGGGAACGTGGGCAAGGACTGTGGAGGGAACAGAGAAGTGACCCCGAGGGCGTGCGGCCACTGCAGAGGCCAGCACGGTCCTCAGAAAAGAACCTCAGGTTCAGTGAGGCCAACGGTCCACAGAGAAAGGGCATCGGCGACAGTCACACAGCGTGCCATGTTACGCTGAAAGCCGGCTCTCCCCTCCAGCCCCACGTCTGTGTTAGCCCCAGACGTCGCGGCTGTGTCCGGTGCTGGCTTTACCTTTTATGCACATCTTCGTAGGCTGTATATGGCAACACAAAGCCCTCTCTGTCCAGCTTGATTTCCACATCTGGGGAGAGGAGGACAAAGGCCTGGCACTGGGGCTCACTAACCGCGCCCTCCTTTCCTGCAGCTGCTGAAGGTTATGGTCATGGCAGCCACAGGGGTGAGCACTAACCCACTCGGGGCTCAACCCTTCACCGAGGGATGGGGTGCCAGGTTGGGGGTCAGTGGGAACCTGCATGCTGCCTTTCTCCCTGAAAACAGCAGCTCCCGTAGCGCTCGCGGTGCGTCCAGGGGCTCCAGCAGGGATAGGCAGGGTCCTGCTCTGAGTGTGTCCTCATACAAGCAGACGTGCCCCTCTCCCAGCGGCCCACGGCCCGGGCAG